GTGCTACAGTATGTCTCTTCTCCTTTAATTCAACTGATTTTGATTCAGTTCAATTCAATATATTCTTCTTTTGTTTACAAACTGTCCACTTAAAGGTGGGGTAGGTAATTTTGGAGAAACCAGCTCGAGATCGCTAGAATTTGAAAATACACAACTGGAAAAAATCTGCCACTTCCTTATAGAGCCCCTCCTCCAACACACACCAACGTGCACATGACCAATGAGGTCACGAGATTAGTTTGTGCACAGATGGAAGGCTGACAGGCAGGTAGGCCATTGAATGCAGTGGTTAACTTTGGGAGATATTTAGCTTTATGTCTTAATGCTCTTAATGTCTTTCATTTTTGTAAAGCATTTTGAATTGCCTTGTTTTGAATGGTGCTATAAAAATACACTTGCCTTGTCTTGTTGCCTTGTTGCCTTTGCCTTGTTGTCTTGTTGCCTTGTTGCCTTGTAGCCTTGTTGCCTTGTTGCCTTGTTGCCTTGTTGCCTTGTTACCTTGTGTTTCCTTGCCTTGTTGCCTTGTCACCTTGCCTTGTTACCTTGCCTTGTCTTGTCGTCTTTTGCCTTGTTGCCTTGTTACCTTGCCTTGTTACCTTGCCTTGTAAATGCTGTTTTCTCCATGGAGTTGTTTACTTGCATCTTTATGTCACTTTTACTATTTTAACTCGCTTCACGTCTTTATTTCTTAGTGTGTTTTCCTCTCAGTGTATTTCGGGAGTCTTCAGTATTCATGTGTCAGGCCTTGTGGCGTTGCAAAAATAAATCAAAAGTGATTATGTAAGAAGAGAAGGACTGCAGGGGAAACGGCTCCATTCACTGAGGAGAGGCTCAGAGAGGCTTTCTGCACGTATGCATGCACGAGGACATTAAAAGCTATTTGAGCACGCTTCATATTAACCTGCGGTGTTTGGATGTTCAGCTATGAGACGCATTTAAGTAGGAAGACATATGATCAGTGAATAGGGGTAAACAAAGCGTTTAAAAAAAAAGATATCAGCATGAAACTAAGCCCTTTGTTTTAAAAAATGGACAATAGTAGAAGTACAAATATGCAAATAAGGCTACTTTAATATGTGTGCATTTACAATTACTGAATATACATATAAACATTGGATAAAGTCGGGGGGGGGGGAGTGTGTGGGAGAGAAACTCCCTCTGGATTTTAGCATCTGCAGACCATTTACATGCACTAAAAACCTATAGGACACACTACAGGAGAGGGAACACTCAAAAGAAGAGGAACCCTTTAATAATGACTTGTTTACAGAATAGACAAATACTGAAGAAGTCCAATACAGGCGTTTCTTGCAGAGCGAGGACATGTTAGATTTTGCAGGCCATTAACATGCACTAAAACCTATATAACGCACTAGGGAAGGGAAAACCCCAAAAGCATAATAGGGTACTATACAGCTCTTAGGAAAGTGAAGAAAATGTGTCTTTATAGCTATTTTTCAAGACTAGGTTACAAAGGGCTCAACATGACCACGAGTAGAGAAAAGACAATCAGGAGAGACTTCATTTTGTTTAAAGAACATTTATTGACACATGTCATGTGATTAATGTTAAGTCTTTGGCGATTAGACCCCGATCCTGAAATGGTATATCTAAAGGGGGAAATGCAGCCGTGAGCATATAGGGAACCCCCCCCCCCCCCCCCCCCCCCCCCCCCGGGGTCTAGACACTGGTGGTGATGCTGAAGATCTGGATGTGATGAGGAGATGGGATGAAGAGGAGGTGTGATGAGGTCTTTATTAGCTCTCCTGGCAGCTGCGGAGTGAATGCGGAGTGAATGTATACACCCAGGGTGTTTCTCAATCTCGAGTAAAGCTGCTTCAGAGCCACTATTTCAGCATACTACGTCATCGAGTGCCGCCGAAGTACTGTTCCAATCTCCAGTATACTTGGAAATCTACCGAGCCAGGCGTACTCCGTTTGGAGAAATATCGAGTGTGCACATGAGTAGACTTCGCGGCCTTAAAATCCCCACAATGCTTTGCGCACGGACCAATTTCCCCAAATCTGTGGCGGAAGATGTAAGGCGGGGCCTCTCATATGACGCACACCTGCACACTTGCTAGCCTGTTCCACTCTTTGTTTTCCGAATGGCAGGAAGTATTCTTGACTCGCTTCTGAAGCAAGATGCTCGGCAGACATGTGCTACCAAGCAAGCGTACTCGCGATTGAGAAACACCCCCAGTCTTCCTGAAAGAACTTGCGCCGAGCTTCATAAGTCCAATAGAGGGAGGACATTTGAGCCTTTGCAGACCATTTACATGCACACAAACCTTGTATGAGAAATGACTGAAGTTGCCCCTTTAGTCAAATACCTCATGGGGGTCCTGTGCAAAACTCTTATATTGCAAATTAACGAGCAACTTAAGCTCAGCTAAATCACGTTTTGCAAACAGTGAAATATTTCCCTTTAAATGGCAGTAAATAAGAGGCAAAGCAAACACCTCAATAATGCACCTCAACACTGTGCAGTGCAGATGTGCTTTCCACCTCTGTGTGCACATGTGTGTTTATGTACAGTCAGAGGTGGAAGAAGTACTCACACCTGGTACTTTAGTTAAAGTAGAAGTACTCGGACCTGGTACTTTAGTTAAAGTAGAAGTACTCAGATCATGTACTTGAGTAAAAGTAGAAGTACTCAGATCTTGTACTTGAGTAAAAGTAGAAGTACTCAGATATTGTTCTTGAGTAAAAGTAGAAGTACCAGAGTGTAGGAATACTCTGTTACAGTAAAAGTCCTGCATTCAAAATGTTCCTCAAGTAAAAGTAGAAAAGTATTATCATCAAAATATAGTTAAAGTAGCGACAGTAAAAGTAGTCATTGTGCAGATTGGTCCATTTCAGAATAATATATATGATATGTTTTATAATGATTGATCATTAAAGTGTTCTCAAAGCTGGTAAAGGTGCAGCTAGTTTGAATGACTTTGTATACTGCAGGGTAGCTTGTGAATTTACTCCAGGTGGAACTAAAGTCTGATTTAACACTTGATTATATTTCACATCATTCATCCACATCTGTAAAGTCACTAAAGGTATTAAATACATGTAGTGGAGGAAAAGTACAAAGCATAAGTAGCTCAAGTAAAGTACAAGTACCTCAAAATTACAAGTACAGTACAGTACTTGAGTAAATGTACTTAGTTACTCTACACCTCTGTGTCATCATGTGATCTGTGTCGTGTGTTTATGTTTAATATGAACATGCAGCGTGTGCAGAGAGCGGACATGTGATACTCCCAGAGGAGAACAGAGAGGATCATGGTCACACACACACACACACACACACACACACACACACACACACACACACACACACACACACACACACACACACACACACACACACACACACACACACACACACACACTTCGATAAGAGATGATGTGCTTCGTCTCTTTTATCTGATCCTTCTCTTTGCTGCTTTCCAGTATGTGTTTCCATCTCTACGAGGACAGCGTGTGACATGTTGTTGTCCTGTTGTTATCCCTGACTGTAACATCAATAAAGATCTCCTGATTCTCTTCGTAGAGTAGTATTAATGAAAGAGGTGCTGATGTACATTTAATATAATTTCTCTGTATGTTAACATGCCAGAATTAACATCCTTTTTGTTTAGATTTCTCATTTACAACCGATTTGATCATATTCCCACCAATTACCATTTATTTTCTCAATTGTTTGTTTACAAAATGTCTGAAAATAGGGAAAAGTGTCTTATTTTGTTAGTTTTAAACCCCAAAATATATGTGATATTTCAAGAGAAAAGCAGCATATGTCCATAGCTCAGAACCTTAAAACACTATTTTCTGACATCTTTGCATTAAAAAAGGACTTTAAAGATGAATATATCATCATGTAAACCCAAGTAACCCCATTTCTGTTTAGTCTTCCCACTTAGTTTTACATTTTCATTGTAAATATTACAGCGATTTACAATTATTTTCTCAATGGTTTGTTACTAAAATGTCAGAAAATAGCAAAGAAGTGTCTTCCAGTTTCCCACAGTCCAACGTGATGTCTTTTAATGTCGTGTCGTGTCATTTAAAATCGTAAATATGATATAAATACATATTTCAGAGGCCAAAAAGAGCATTTTCTGAAATGTTTGCATTCAAAATCAGTAGATAATCAAAACATATTTTTGATATATTATTTTCTCTATTGTTGCTTATTGTGTTGAAAATGTATTTTTTCTAATTGCTTTGTTGTATTTTCATACTCTCAAGCATTTAGCATTGCAACTCAACAGGAAAGGCCCCTACACATAGATGTAGTTGAAGATACAAAGTGTGCCATGAACATTATACCAACGTGAATAAAGGAACAAACACAACAAGTCAAACATGAGTCGATATTTACTGAAACACAATCAACACAAAAGATACATTAGAAATTAGACAACATTAATAATCAACACACGCGCATCAGTTACCCAGGAGACCTCCAACTGAACAGACCTGTAGCAACAACTGCATCATTCATGTTACTTACGTTTAAACATTAACCTTAAACATGTAAGTAGCATATTCAATCTGCGACTTCAAATGTTCTCCAGTAATCAGTCAAAGAAACGTCAGTAGGAAATATCTGAGTCCACAAGGAACCGTCTGACATTTTGACAAAAATCAAACAGTGCTAGTTGTTGAAAAGTGCCCGTAGTTACTTCAGCTGTCATCGTGTTAGTTTACACACACACAATCTTCTTCTGGTTGCATTCAGGAGCATCATGTAAGTCTTTGGTGAGTTTCTGAACGAGCCTTGTGTCCATAAAAAAAAGAAAAAGAACTCCTAACATTCTGCGTCTGTAATGTTCCTGAAAGATCCGCAAACAAAACGAACCGTTCATCTGCCGCTTTCGGGACGAGTGTGTGTGTGTGTGTGTGTGTGTGTGTGTGTGTGTGTGTGTGTGTGTGTGTGTGTGTGTGTGTGTGTGTGTGTGTGTGTGTGTGTGTGTGTGTGTGTGTGTGTGTGTGTGTGTGTGTGTGTGTGTGTGTGTGTGTGTGTGTGTGTGTGTGTGTGTGTGTGTGTGTGTGTGTGTGTCCTCATCCCTGCAGGTCAAAGGTCCGGAGGCAGTGACTGGAGCAACAATAAGCCACAAAACTCACCGTCGTCCTGTGGAGGAGAGAAGGGAGACAGAATAAGGTTATTTTAATTTTACACAATAAATGCGTTCAAGTTATATTTTATACTAAAAGTAAGTTTCAAATCTAAAAAAACTCAAATGTTATTAGATATGGGTGTTTTGTTTTTAAGCTGAAGCACCAATTTGTTCATGTTTTTTGTAATTGCAGGTGTTGACTATATTAGACATTATTTATCCATATGTTCATTTGTTTTTATAGCAATATATTTATAAGATTACACAGATTTACCTTTTTAGTGTCAGATATCCTGAGTCAATATTTACCCACTAGATTTTGTGAAGTTATCTTTAAAATGTAATGGATTCTGATGTTTGTACTTGAAATAAGGCAATAACTGTTTGTTCTGTAGTTTGTTCTGTGAAGGTGCGTTTGTTCTGTAGTTTGTTCTGTAGTTTGTTCTGTAGTTTGTTCTGTAGTTTGTTCTGTGAAGGTGGGTTATGTCTATAGAGGTGCGTTTGTTCTGACCTGCGGTGCACCCCTGCCAGCGCGGTGTCCCTCAGAGGGAACAGCTTGGGGAAGATGGTGGTGAACATGGTCTGACTGCAGCGGTGACAGTGACCCAGAGGGAAGTGGAGCAGCTGGAGGAGACTCTGGGGCAGACAGAGGGGGGGGGGGCGGGCTGAGGAGGGGGGGGGGGCAGGTCTGGAGACACAGGGAGGACAGGGGGGGGGAGTTATTGGACACGTATACAGTCAAAGATGTCACTTCATTGTAACATGACACTTTCTTTTTGGTTCATTCCAATTCTTTCATGGAAAATTGAAATGCATTTGTATTTTCATAATTCCCACGAATGTCTTGATGTCAAAACACTTTTTTTAAGTTCTTTATCGCTCGTTTTGAACTTGCAGTGGTTCAACTTGTTAATGTCTTCTTCCCCCCCCACGTCCACACCGACAACATGCAGCTGCTTTGAGACGTAAAACCATCATTTCAGTCAGACAACTCACGTGTTTCTTTAACATGTTTATTAGAAGCAGCATATAGTTGAGTTTGCCGTCTAGGCTCGGGCCTCATCACTCCACAGATATACAAAGAACATTGAGTGATGATTAGATAACTATCCCCCCGAGCGTACAGGTGGAAGCTGGGGTGGAAGCTGGGGTGGAAGCTGGGGTGGAGCTGTGGAAGCTGGGGTGGAAGCTGGGTTGGAAGCTGGGGTGGAAGCTGGGGTGGAAGCTGAGGGTGGAAGCTGGGTTGGAAGCTGGGGTGGAAGCTGGGGTGGAAGCTGGGTTGGAAGCTGAGGGTGGAAGCTGGGGTGGAAGCTGGGTTGGAAGCTGGGGTGGAAGCTGGGGTGGAAGCTGGGTTGGAAGCTGGGGTGGAAGCTGGGGTGGAAGCTGGGGTGGAAGCTGGGGTGGAAGCTGGGGTGGAAGCTGGGGTGGAAGCTGGGGTGGAAGCTGGGGTGGAAGCTGAGGGTGGAAGCTGGGGTGGAAGCTGGGTTGGAAGCTGGGGTGGAAGCTGGGGTGGAAGCTGGGTTGGAAGCTGGGGTGGAAGCTGGGGTGGAAGCTGAGGGTGGAAGCTGGGTTGGAAGCTGGGGTGGAAGCTGGGTGGAAGCTGGTTGGAAGCTGAGGGTGGAAGCTGAGGGTGGAAGCTGGGGTGGAAGCTGGGTTGGAAGCTGGGGTGGAAGCTGGGTTGGAAGCTGGGGTGGAAGCTGGGTTGGAAGCTGGGTTGGAAGCTGGGTTGGAAGCTGGGGGGGAAGCTGGGTTGGAAGCTGAGGGTGGAAGCTGGGGTGGAAGCTGGGGTGGAAGCTGGGGTGGAAGCTGAGGGTGGAAGCTGGGTTGGAAGCTGGGGTGGAAGCTGAGGGTGGAAGCTGGGGTGGAAGCTTGGGTGGAAGCTGGGTTGGAAGCTGGGGTGGAAGCTGAGGGTGGAAGCTGGGTTGGAAGCTGGGGTGGAAGCTGAGGGTGGAAGCTGGGGTTGGAAGCTGGGGTGGAAGCTGGGGTGGAAGCTGGGTTGGAAGCTGGGTTGGAAGCTGGGGGGGAAGCTGGGTTGGAAGCTGAGGGTGGAAGCTGGGGTGGAAGCTGGGGTGGAAGCTGGGGTGGAAGCTGAGGGTGGAAGCTGGTTGGAAGCTGAGGGTGGAAGCTGGGGTGGAAGCTGGGGTGGAAGCTGGGGTGGAAGCTGGGTGGAAGCTGGGTTGGAAGCTGGGGTGGAAGCTGAGGGTGGAAGCTGGGTTGGAAGCTGGGGTGGAAGCTGAGGGTGGAAGCTGGGTTGGAAGCTGGGGTGGAAGCTGGGGTGGAAGCTGAGGGTGGAAGCTGGGTTGGAAGCTGGGGTGGAAGCTGGGGTGGAAGCTGGGGTGGAAGCTGGGGTGGAAGCTGGGGTGGAAGCTGGTGTGGAAGCTGGGGTGGAAGCTGGGGTGGAAGCTGGGGTGGAAGCTGGGGTGGAAGCTGGGTTGGAAGCTGGGGTGGAAGCTGGGGTGGAAGCTGGGGTGGAAGCTGGGGTGGAAGCTGGGGTGGAAGCTGGTGTGGAAGCTGGGGTGGAAGCTGGGGTGGAAGCTGGGGTGGAAGCTGGGGTGGAAGCTGGGGTGGAAGCTGGGGTGGAAGCTGGGGTGGAAGCTGGGGTGGAAGCTGGGGTGGAAGCTGGGTTGGAAGCTGAGGGTGGAAGCTGAGGGTGGAAGCTGGGGTGGAAGCTGGGGTGGAAGCTGGGGTGGAAGCTGGGGTGGAAGCTGGGGTGGAAGCTGGGGTGGAAGCTGGGGTGGAAGCTGGGGTGGAAGCTGGGGTGGAAGCAGGCGAGCAGCAGCGACGTGGAAGTAGCTGCAGCAATAGCAGCAGCAAGCAATGCATAGAGAGAGATCTGGCAGGTTCAATAGAGCGGCTTATTAAGGAGACTCTGTTTGGTTGGCTGTAGAGTGGCACGGGGCGTTATGTATGAATGCAGCATGAGTGCTCGAGTTGACTGCCTGAACTAGCTCACAGGCTCCGCCCCATTTGTGTAAATTTGATGGCAAAAAATCTGATATTCAGATTAATTAGTAGAAGATGGACCTGTGAATCTTTATTACTAATAAACATAGTTTTCCTTCAATAATAGGTGTTTAAATGTTGGTGCATTCATTCATTCACGAGTCATAAATAATAAAGACCTTTGCTAAGTGTATTCCTTCAGATTTAGGAAAGTGTTTCACATATTATTGTGTTGTTGTCATTTATGGTTTTTGTCAAAATTGTCTGTGTTTGTATTTATTTACATTTTCTTGGTCAGTGAAGCTCTTCAGGCTGTCGCTGTCCGTGGTGCTGAAGGAGCTGTGCATTTTTTTCAGCGTGTCCCCCTTCTGTCACTTTTGTCTTGGATCTAAACTAAACTACGGGGGGGGGGGGTTAGTATTAAAAACGACAGAAGTATAAGACTTGTCTTTGTGGTTTGCTAGTGTGGTGGAAACTCTTGAAATGAACTCGTCAGAGAGATGTCTTTCTGGTTCTGGTTTCAGTCGTGAGATAACTGACCCCTGACCCCTGATCAGAGTAAAATAGACCCATGATCAGATCCATGGTCACCTTCCTGAGTGCTGAGATCTACGGTCTCTTGACATGTAAGGCTTATAGAATATGATTATGTATATGTTAAATATAACATCATAGCATCCAATTCTCTGATGACCAGAATTTCCATTACACTATTACACTTCCATTAATATAAAGGGAGGTCAGGTACTCTTTAAAACAGATGCTAGTTATGGGTACTTTTTACTGAAGTACATTTCAAAGCCCATACTTCTTTAGTTTTACTTGAGTAAAGACGTTTAGTCAGTACTTCTACTTTTAAAACACGAGTATCTGTACTTCTACTTGAGTAAAGCATGTGTGAACTTTCTCTCCTCACCTGTCTTGCCGTGGTGGTAGATGCGGTGCAGGGCCCTCAGGGCGAGCTCCTCCAGGGGGACCACGTTCTCCGTCTCTGAGCCCACCACCTTCACCTCCGCGGGGAGGCCCACCAGAGCCTGACTCAGGGTCTCCCCCCCCCTCAACATCTGGGCCGACACACCACACCTGGAGGAGAAACACACATTCAGAGCATGTTCTAGCCCACGTGCTCGGCCAGAAGCAGAAACAAGGATCCTGGGTTTCAGATTGTGTTCAAAAGTTATTTTTACGTGTCATTTAATTAAGTGAAGTATGCATGGCTTCACGTAAACTGGAGTAGAAGTGGAATATCATTTTTTTATTGAGCAACAACTTATAGGTATAGGACTTAAAGTGTTTTAATATGCATGTGCTTTTGGTTCTAAAAGGGTTGTAATGGTTTACCCGCTGCAGCCGATGACCTTGTTGTAAAGATAGGAGGGAAATCCTTTCAGATCCACGTTGTTGTCAACAAACACAAACTGCAGCTCTCTCGATCTGCCCAGATCTGTAACACACACACACACACACACACACACACACACACACACACACACACACACACACACACACACACACACACACACACACACACACACACACACACACACACACACACACACACACACACACACACACACACACACACACACACACACACACACACACACACACACACACACACACACACACACACACACACACACACACACACACACACACACACACACACACCACACACACACACCACACACACACACACACACACACACACACACACACACACACACACACACACACACACACAGAAGTGGAATTAGTGCTTTATGATCAAAGGACCGAAAACAAAGCACTGTAGACTTCTTGCACTATTTTATTATATATGTTGCATTGTTGGAGGAGCTCAGGTCAGAACAATTCCATTGCCATTTCTACACTGTAGCTTTGTGCATATGACAATAAAACCTTTGAGTCTTTGAAAAAGTCAAGCTACCTACCGAGGGGCAGGAAGGTGAGGCGGTTGGCGGCCATTGAGAGCTGGTTGAGGCGCTGCAGCCAGCAGAGCTGTCGGGGGAATCGAGTCAGCAGGTTGTGGTCGGCGGTGAGATTCTGCAGAGAGACGCAGCGATGCAGACGCTCGGGGAGAAACGTCAGCTGGTTCATGGAAACATCCAGAGTCTCCAGGTCCTGAAGGTCCCCGATCTCTGAGGGGAGAGGAGGACACGATGGGGAGGGGGGTTAAAAACACTGTGTAGGAATAACAGGGACAAATGTTCAGGAACACAATGTCAAAACTTCCAAAGGACGGGATGAGGAGAGGGGGAAATGGAAATGTTAATAAATATTCCAAACCTAAAAAGGGGCAAGTTCAAATTCTCTTCAGATACTTTGATCTACATAACAAATCCTTTTTCAAAACCAAAAAACACTCGCTCCAGCTTAAAAGATAAATCCGATCTCCAGGTAAGGCAGGTTTATTTATACAGCACCTTTCAACACAAGGCAATTCCAAGTGCTTTACAAACATGACATTAAGAGCATAAAGAAATAGTGCAGCAGAAACACATTAAAAAATGGCATTTAAAACATTAATTTAAAAGCAGATCTCTGAGGGGACAGGAGGACACGATGGCAGGGTATATGCAGGAATCCTCAAGTCACATGTAAGACCCTTTAAGACCTTTTTTAAGACCCTTTCCATACATTTTAAGACCTCATCGCCACTTGGAGTTCTAACCGGTTACATTGACAACACACTTTACCTCACATTGACTATATACAGTATTGATTGTCCTTCCTCCTTATCTTCCAACCATTTGGACGCAGACTTGCATTTCCCCATAACGATGTTGTTTAACAACCGGCGTAAACGGACCTTCGCGCGCTATCAAGCAGTGAGCGTGCGATGTCCTGTTCAGATGACGTCAAACCCAACAGGATGCCATAAATAAACTACACAGAATCACACTACACACCTACGCAATGATTACATTCAGGCAGACTGTAGAATACAACCTCTTTGGACCATTTATATACTTATTGGAAACAAGCTACAAAATGTAATACCTTGGAAAATGCCGTTTAATATTTTTTAATAGCCTTAATTTTCGCTGAATTGATTTATCAACTTTTAATACTTTTTAAGAGCCCGCGGACACCCTGGATGGAGAGGGAGATTTGAAAACAGTGTGTAGGAATAACAGGGACACAATGTCAAAACGTCTCTGTGATCGTCAGGCTGATAGAGACAGAAAGCAGGAATAACAAGTAAACAAACCGCTTCTAAGATGTTTTAAAAGCAGGTTTGACATCAGATAAATAGATACAGTGTACAGAGTGAGTTCCTCGTCGTGTACAGCCTCTCCAGGAACTGAATCACATTTCGTGCAAAGTCACAGACTTCATTGCAAAAGTTAATAGCTATATAAAACCTAAAAGGCAATCTCTTCTAGAGCTCATGTTCTCTCCAAATACTTTAAACTACATACAAAATAATTGTGAATTGTGAAAAATAATACATGTTGTAACTTGTTTTATTTAAAGCAGTGAGACATGTTGACCTGATTGACCTCTAAATATAAAGGGTAATAATTCTGTTTTACTTTGAAATGTTGACAGGAAATGCTTTTATTTTGAAGTGTAAGGAAGAATCCTGCTCTGAGTTTTCCCGGTTAGTCGATTGATGAAATGAATACGAGATGTGGAGTGCATGTTTACCGTTAGTGTTGTAAACTGCTGCAATAACAGACAGTCAAATGCTCAGTTTGGACTAGTTCCACTACACAACAATACATATGTAGATTACAAGGTTAACATGTGCAATCAGAGCGCATTGAAATATGAAATGCACCCCTGCCTGTCATTATTAAAACATATCAGAGTCTTGAAATACAAGGATGATGTTTTCCATTTTCTTCATGTTTGTTCAAGAGGCGCTGTTGCCCTCTGCTGGATAAATAAATACTGCAACTCAATGCAGGTGTTTTCTTAAAGGTCTCCTATCATGCTGTTTCTAGGCATATAGTATGGGTCTCAGATATATACAAATATATAAAAAACATGTCTATGATGTGTTTTGCTCCAAATACCAAACAGATCATTAGAAATCCATCAAACCCCTCTATTCCAGCTGTTAGAGGAATGCTGATTCGGGGTCCTTTGAAAAAAAGTGGAGGGGGAGCTAATGCCTGCTCAGAATAGAGTGTCACGGTGACACGTCCTAAAACCCGGAAGTGAGTCAGCATTTTACCACTTCCTGTTCCCTGGTCTCAGAGCCAATGGGATTTCTCCATAGGATTTTGGAAAATAGCTGGAAATAAGGTCTGTGGTTGAGACCCATTGAAGAGACGGATCACGTTTTGTTCTAGGACATTAAATACATCAGCAGTGACCCCGCTGGTGATTTCTGAAGAGTTGACGTGTCTGAAAAACGATGGTTGTTACCAAGTGGCTGAATAGGACTACAGAAGTCGTGGAGGACGTTGTAAACACGTAAACACTCCCGCTAAGTTTGTTTGCCCTGTTCTGCTTGAAAGCAAGTACCTGCCTCCTGCAAACTGTTCAAACAAACGCTTCAACTCGTACCATTTAGAATCTGTATGTTTGAATATGGATCTTAAGTTGGCGTGACGTTGAAGCAGCGACCCTGCTGTAGTTCCTTTATAGCATAACGTTAGCATTTAGCTTCTGGCGACTAGATTTATGATTAGAAAATTATAAAAGTAGGGTAGACATGTGGATATTATCCGGCTGAACAAAACGTGCTCCGTCTCTTCAATGTGTCTCAACCACAGACCTTATTTCCAGCTATTTTCCAAAATCCTATGGAGAAATTGCATTGGTTTTTTGTCAAGGGAACCAGAAGGAGTTTACTTCCAGTTTTTAGGACGTGTTACTGTGGCACTCTATACTACGAGACACTCAGCTAAATGCTCCCGTGATTAAACGCCATCATGTTCTAAACCACATCAAGGATTATTTCTGAAACAGTATGGAGCTCAAACTCTTTCTCTCTCTCAGGTTTACCACAAGGTGAGTTCCTTTCTTTATTTCCTGCAGAGGTTAGCTCTGAGTGTTAGCATGCTAATGTAAACACAGACCATATTACGTTCAAAACACGTCGCTCATTGTTTCTGACAGCAACGTTTCTGATAGGGCCGTGGGTCTAAAGCCCGCCCACATTTCAGATATTACGTCTTATCAGACGCAAATCTAGATCAGCTCCGTTGTAGCCCCGTTTTTAGAGATGTTGGTACGGAGGAAAAGAGAGAGGGTTTTGTTTTCTGACGCTGCGTGAGTGTTTTTTTTGTTTTAGATTTTTCACTTGACCCTGTGCTTGGTCAAACATACTGTCAGTTATTTGTTGTCTTACTGAACATTTTTTTAAATGTTAAACTGTGTCACAAGTAGAGTGACAAAACAAACTTGAATTTTTTGGATGACCCTGACTAATCTTAACTAAACAAGATAAAAACTCTGCCGTCATGTTTTAGATTAGATGTTCTTTATTGATCCCAACTTGGGACATTGTCTTGTCTCGGGAGCATGTTAACAAGGGATTGGACATGAGTTCAACATAAAACCTTTCCTAAACATTATAAATATACACATATTAACAGTATAAAGACAAGTCTGTAGACTATCTGCAGAATAGATAGATGCATTCAATACTCTCCAAAACGACCTGTTAGCGGTATAGCTTATCTGCAGCATATATATATCTAATATATTCTTATTTTTTATGTTGTTTGTGTGTTTTTCATTCTTTCTCTTTGTAAATATAATCTTGTACATGCGTATACTTAGCTTTCCATCGCTTAAAGATAGCATATTGTCATTGTGTGTGCACTTGTTTAAGTTGCTGATGGTGATGCACCGTAGAAACGTAATAAAGAGGTATTTGTGATGGTAGACGTACCTGGAGGAAAGCACTTGAGCTGATTGTTGGACAGTCGGAGGTGTCTCAGAGATCTGAGGCGTCCGATCTCCGGACAGAGGAACTGCAGCGCGTTGTTGCTCAGGTCCAACGACTGCAGACGAGACAAGCTGCCGATCGCTGAGGATCAAAGACAACAGAGTGGTAGTATCGTGAAAAGACAACAGGAGAGACAAGGTTTCACACGGCTGCTGCAGGAGATACTAAAATATGTCAAAGTGTCTTGAAATGCATTTTGAGACGTTCATTTTGTGTTTTAAAAACTTGTTTATTTTCAATTTTTTATAAAACATTTTTTTAATCTTATTAGTGCGAATGCTGTCTGCACACCTTGAGTTAATCTGCCAAAAAAGCCACATTATTGACCCGAAAGTGCACAAAAAGCAGATTGAGACGCCCCTCAGGGTCCTGACATGATCCACGCGTTGACATTTTAACGATAGCTGCTACGGTTCTCTACAAAAGTTAGAAATGTAAGAGGTTTATTTCTCATTCAGAACAATGGAAAGGCTCTCCTCTCACTGATTACTGCACATCTCCATGGTAACCTTTGATCTCTGGGCTCACACACACACACACAGGTGTTTGATAACAACGTCACCATGGTAACCTTTGATGTCTGGGCTCACACACACACAGGTGTTTGATAACGTCGTCACCTCAAACACAAACACCCAGGGTGTTTCTCAATGTCGAGTAAAGCTGCTCCAGAGCCACTATTTCAAGCATGCTACGTCATCGAGTTCCGCCGAAGTACTGTTCCAATGTCCAGCATACTTGGAATTCTACCGAGCCCGGCGTAAATTTCGAGGCTGCACATGTGTAGACTCTGCGGTCTTAAAATCCCCACAATGCTTTGCACACGGACCAATTTCCCCAAATCTGTGGCGGAAGATGTAAGGCGGGGCCTCTCATATGACGCACACCTGCACACTTGCTCGCCTGTTCCACTCTTCGTTTTCCGAATGCCAGGAAGTATTCTTGACTCGCTTCTGAAGCAAGATGCTCGGCAGACATGTGCTACCAAGCAAGCGTACTCGACATTGAGAAACACCCACAGACTGGAGTTTAAAGACTGTCTCCGCCTATTCTTTTCTGTCTGATGGAGACTTCATACTGACTTCAACATGTTCCACATATTTTATACATTATTGGTGACGTGTGGTTTTAGTTCAAATGTTTGCAGTCAAAATATTCTGCTGCTTTCCCAAGCGTTTTGGCTTTCTTTTCTCTTCTTAATACACATTCATTCACTACTACTTACATCTCATATTTAACTCCTTCAGCCTACTTTCAGCTACAGAAACCATTCAACTATTACATTATTCAGCTATTTCAGGACATTGAGGCTATACATGTTGTTGTTTAAATATTAAGCTTCTTCACTATTTGTCCTACTCTTCCAGTTTAACATTTCACTTTCAAGTTTCCAACAAAGTCATTGCAATGCATTTGAGCTGTAACCATTTGATTCAAATCATTTCACTTTTCTGCATTTCTCCGCTAAGTTCAGCAACACACTGGGTGTTTCTCAATTGCGAGTAAAGCTGCTTCAGAGCCACTATTTCAAGCATACTACGTCATCGAGTGCCGCCGAAGTACTGTTCCAATCTCCAGTATACTTGGAAATCTACCGAGCCCGGCGTACTCCGTTTGGAGAAATATCGAGTGTGCACATGAGTAGACTTCGCGGTCTTAAAATCCCCACAATGCTTTGCGCACGGACCAATTTCCCCAAATCTGTGGCGGAAGATGTAAGGCGGGGCCTCTCATATGACGCACACCTGCACACCTGCTAGCGTGTTCCACACTTCGTTTTCCGAATGCCAGGAAGTATTCTTGCCTCGCTTCTGAAGCAAGATGCTCGGCAGACATGTGCTACCAAGCAAGCGTACTCGACATTGAGGAACACCCACTGACTTGGTCTCTGTAGCTAAAAGAAGCTACCATTCAGCTAATAACATATTCAGCTTTTTCTGCATTTTCAGCTAAATTCAGCCACAAATGTTCAGTTTACAGCATTCACACGCATTCTCAGCAGGAAATGCATTTTTTAGTTATATTTTATTGTACTAATTATTTTCATAAAATGTATGTAGTAACAATGGTTTTAGAGTCATGCGTATTTTTCGGGATTTCACTTGCTGGGGATCGAAGATAACAGAGGGCATTATTATATGGAAAATGGAGACTTTACAAATAAAAACAACTTCATCTCCAGATTTCTCTCATTTCAATCCTCCTGTTGTTTTGGAGTTCTTAGTAATTTACCCTTTTTATCCTGACAGTATTTAATATGTTATTACTTTACATACAGTACGGTCAAAAGAGTTGTGTAATTATATCAGGGGTGTTTCCTAGAAAGATATAGTATGAGGTGATACTGTGGCGCTGATCTTGTTTATAAGATATATCAATTATCTCAAGATCATGACGCCCGTATACAAGATGGCGCCGCGGACGTAAACAACAACGTGACGTCGGAGCTCCGTAACAACAAAGCTGTCTCTGCCGTCTGACGCTCTGTTCGATGCTCAGATTTCTGGAGTCATTATACAGTTTTTGAGGAACAGAAATATTGTTTTCTGGCATCACTTTACGGGGAAAACTGCATTTGGGTTTGAGGGCGTGCAGACAGAACCCTGAATATAATAATAATACACTTTATTTATAGCACCTTTCAAAAGACATTTACAAAGTGCTTTCACAGCAAAATACACAGAGAGCAAGGGAACTAAACGACAGCATCTAAACACAAGAACAGATAGAAAATAATAACAACAAAAAAAAAAATAGATTAAGAATAAATTAAATCACATAAAAGCATTCCTAAAGTAAGGTTTGAAAAGTGACTTAAAAGAGCCGACAAATTTAACAAAATAAATGTAATTGTAATCAGTAACAGAGAAGCAGAGAGGTGTGAACACGGGTTTATTATTAAGTAATACCAGAGGAGGACTCACCTTCAGGAATAAGGATGATGTTGTTCGAGTGCAAATACCTTCAATGGAAAACAAACAGATGTTTAAATTACATTAAAACAGAATATTTGAGCTGTTGTCGGTTATATTTTAAAACATTGTAATGCATGTAATCTTCACCGTCCGCCCTCATCCACTTTTCAAGTAAAACAGCTTATGTAATGTCATGAAGTTTGATTACTGTACAACAAACAAACAAAGCTTTAAAGGTCTCCTGTTATACTCTTCTTCATCAATATATCACAGGTCTCAGATATAGTCAGAGCCTGTCTCTGATTGGCTGAAACACCAAACAGATCATTGCAGCATCCCATAATCCCCTCTGTTTCAGCCCTGTTTCCAAAGTGCTGATTCTCTGTCTGTTACTTTAGATGAAAATAAGGAGCCCCTCCCCACGCCCCTCTGAGAGAGATTTGGTTAAAAAGAACACAATGGTGATCTAGGAGGAGATTCAGGTGATAAGGGGGGGGGGGTTACCTTGGTTGGTGATTGGCTAACGGGCCGTCTCCACAGCAGCGTTAAAAAAATCTTGAAACGCTTCTGCCCATTCACTTTGAATGGGGTGACGTCACTTTCCCTCACTTTTCGCCGAACTGCATTGTGGGCAGGTGAGCGGAGATTCTCAGGATTTTCAAGATTCAAAGTTGAACAATGTTCAACTTTTGAAGCTGAGGTGGAAGCGGCAGCCAATCAAATCCTGTGTACGCAAATCTGGCAGTTCAAGCTCTAGCCAATCAAACGGCGTGTATGCTGGGAGAGACATACCGTAGGTCATTTCCTCATATTCCAAAAAATGGAGGAGAAATTAGCGGTAGGGAATCACCCGGTGCTTTATGACCAGTCCCTATTTACCTACCGGGATATAAACCGGAGGAGCCAGGCATGGAGGGAGGTGGCAGAGACAGTGGTAGGTTTTCGCCTGTTTGGGGAGTTTATATCCAGTTTACTTCGGGCTTTTTGGCTTCGTATGTCGCGGGCGGGAGATTCATGTGATTGGTTGATCACAAAAAAATCCCCAAGCCTCAGATACGCCCACCTCCAAGATTTTTTTAACGCTGCTGTGGAGACGGTCCGTGATGGTTACACAAGCCAACACATCGTTATGACATCACAAAGTGGCCAAAATCTGATCAGCTCATTTTCAGACAGGTTTTTATAGAAATGGATCAGGACAAAAAGAGAGAGAATCTTTGTTCCTGAAACTTTCAGAGTCTCTTTCCACAGAGGGGACACATGGTGATGAAGAAGAGACATGAAGAAGAGGGGACACATGTTGATGTAGAAGAGACATGAAGAAGAGGGGACACATGTTGATGTAGAAGAGACATGAAGAAGAGGGGACACATGTTGATGTAGAAGAGACATGAAGAAGAGGGGACACATGTTGATGTAGAAGAGACATGAAGAAGAGGGGACACATGTTGATGTAGAAGAGACATGAAGAAGAGGGGACACATGTTGATGTAGAAGAGACATGAAGAAGAGGGGACACATGTTGATGTAGAAGAGACATGAAGAAGAGGGGACACATGTTGATGTAGAAGAGACATGAAGAAGAGGGGACACATGTTGATGTAGAAGAGACATGAAGAAGAGGGGACACATGTTGATGTAGAAGAGACATGAAGAAGAGGGGGACACATGTTGATGTAGAAGAGACATGAAGAAGAGGGGACACATGTTGATGTAGAAGAGACATGAAGAAGAGGGGACACATGTTGATGTAGAAGAGACATGAAGAAGAGGGGACACATGTTGATGTAGAAGAGACATGAAGAAGAGGGGACACATGTTGATGTAGAAGAGACATGAAGAAGAGGGGGACACATGTTGATGTAGAAGAGACATGAAGAAGAGGGGACACATGTTGATGTAGAAGAGACATGAAGAAGAGGGGACACATGTTGATGTAGAAGAGACATGAAGAAGAGGGGGACCACATGTTGATGTAGAAGAGACATGAAAGAAGAGGGGACACATGTTGATGTAGAAGAGACATGAAGAAGAGGGGACACATGTTGATGTAGAAGAGACATGAAGAAGATAGAAGAGGGGACACATGTTGATGTAGAAGAGACATGAAGAAGAGGGGACACATGTTGATGTAGAAGAGACATGAAGAAGAGGGGACACATGTTGATGTAGAAGAGACATGAAGAAGAGGGGACACATGTTGATGTAGAAGAGACATGAAGAAGAGGGGACACATGTTGATGTAGAAGAGACATGAAGAAGAGGGGACACATGTTGATGAAGAAGAGACATGAAGAAGAGGGGACACATGTTGATGTAGAAGAGACATGAAGAAGAGGGGACACATGTTGATGTAGAAGAGACATGAAGAAGAGGGGACACATGTTGATGTAGAAGAGACATGAAGAAGAGGGGACACATGTTGATGTAGAAGAGACATGAAGAAGAGGGGACACATGTTGATGTAGAAGAGACATGAAGAAGAGGGGACACATGTTGATGTAGAAGAGACATGAAGAAGAGGGGACACATGTTGATGTAGAAGAGACATGAAGAAGAGGGGACACATGTTGATGTAGAAGAGACATGAAGAAGAGGGGACACATGTTGATGTAGAAGAGACATGAAGAAGAGGGGACACATGTTGATGTAGAAAAGACGTGAACAAGTGGATTTTGCGTAATAAATACTCACAGTTCGATTAGATTTGGGAGCTTCAGAGCAAGATCGTCCGGCTGATAGAGAGAGAAAGCAGAAGTGATTAGTAAAAGTCACAGGAAACAACCCTGCTAAGATGTTTTAAAAGCAGGTTTGACGTCAGGTAAATAGATACCAGCGTTGTGAGTGAGTTCCTCTTCATGTACAGCCTCTCCAGGAACTGAAGGCCTTCGTCTTTCAGCAGCTCCACGGGGAAGTGGTTCAGGTTTCTGTAGTTCAGAAACAGGTTTTTGTGGCGCTCCTGCTTGGCCATGAAAATAGCCTCATGGAGTTCAGTCGCCATTTCTGAAGAGAGATCTCCTCAAACGTGCCTCCTTTCTTTATGGCATTACTGTCTTCACTGAAAGAAAAGTGAATTAACGACAGAGGCGTTCAGTTATAGACAGCTTCCTCCCACAGGCCATCAGACTGATACACACCTGAACTGTTGAAAGAACATCCATCTGTTTGCAACTTATGTATATCAATATGCCAATGACTTGTATATACACTATTCTGCACTATGTCGACTATATTCTATTTCATTTTATTTACTATTTGATCTGTGTTATTGTGTTGCTGTTGGAGGAGCCTGTGACCTCAGATTCTCCTTGTCATATCTACACTGTAGCTACGCACACATGAATCTAGACGTGCTTGATGTATTGACTCACACAGCTGAGAACAAACAACCCAGCATGCAACAGGATCATAAAACACTAGTGTTATTGTAGTAAGTAAGTTGTATGCCTTCTGTACTTTGCAAAAAAACTTTAGTAATGAGTCACACAGGCTTTCATCCAGCAGGGAAATGTTTATTAAAGCTCATTTCCAGTTGAAATGATTACCAAGTATCTGTCCTGCATTCAAAATGTTACTCAAGTGAAAGTAGAAGTACTCAGATCTTGTACTTGAGTAAAAGTAGAAGTACTCAGATCTTGTATTTGAGTAAAAGTAGAAGTACTCAGATCTTGTTCTTGAGTAAAAGTAGAAGTACTAAGATCTTGTACTTGAGTAAAAGTAGAAGTACTCAGGTCTTGTTCCTGAGTAAAAGTAGAAGTACTCAGATCTTGTACTTGAGTAAAAGTAGAAGTACTCAGATCTTGTACTTGAGTAAAAGTAGAAGTACCAGAGTGTATAATACTTTTCTACTTTTACTTGAGGAACATTTTGAAAGCAGTACTTTTACTGTAACAGAGTATTCATCAAAATATAGTTAAAGTAGCGACAGTAAAAGTAGTCATTGTGCAGATTGGTCCATTTCAGAATAATATATATGATATGTTTTATAATGATTGATCATGAAAGTGTTATCAAAGCTGGTAAAGGTGCAGCTAGTTTGAATGACTTTGTATACTGCAGGGTAGCTTGTGGATTTACTCCAGGTGGAACTAAAGTCTGATTTAACACTTGATTAGATTTCACATCATTCATCCACATCTGTAAAGTAACTAAAGGTATTAAATACATGTAGTGGAGGAAAAGTACACCATGTACCTCTGAACTGTAGTGGAGCAGAAGTACTGGAACTTCTCAAGTAAAGTACTAGTATCTCACAATTATACTTAAGTACAGTACTTGAGTTACTTAGTTACATTACACCTCTGTATTTACATTAGGCTCTGTTTATATCTATGGAACATTAGCATGCTAGCTAGCAATAAGAGGCTGCTATTAGCACTATTATTACAGTCAACAACAATACAATACAGACATAAAGCGGTTATTACCTTAATACTTCTGCAGGGCCATTATATTCTCCTTTATGTTCCACAATATGCACATTGGGATCGAAACTAATGCTTAATCGTTTGTTTGTGAAAAGTAACACACAAGCTAACGCTACGTACAGCAACAGTTCTCCGTCATAAACAACGTAATGACGTCAACCACGTTACGCTGGGCGTCTTCTTCTTCTCCTTCTGAATCACTGTGGATAAAACCCTGCTGGAGTCTCACTGCTGCCACCTGATGGTACACCATTAAACTGCAGTGGTTAAAAGTAAATTTACTCTTAACAATTTTGAATTTTTGTACTTTTTCTAACTTTTTACATGTCCTACTACTTAAAGATTTGGCTCCACTATAATTTATAGGCCAATATTATAGGTTTTCGATCAACTTAAATCATCCCTTCAAACTGTATTCATCCCTTTAGAAGCAGTATATATATATAACGTTTTAAAGAAATAGCTCCTTATTTACCAGCTGTGATATGTTTAAAATATGCCGCAGCAATAACACACACTTCCCAACAAAGACGAGCAGTTTGCATACATTTTTATTCATCTTAAATCTTGTGTAGAAAAAAAAAGAACCAGAGAAAAAACACATTCTCTTTTTCCTTCAGCCAATCAGTGTTTCCCAGTACGCACTCATCAGAATATATTGATAACAGGAACAAAAACATAATCTTAGAACAGCTTACGTACGAAAAATAAAAACCCAAAAATCAATCTAACACATCTGAGCTGGATGGCCGTGAATAACTTATCAAAACATGGACACACATTGGCCATCGACACAACACAAAAACAAGATGGAAAAGAAACAAACAAGTTGGATTTTAAGTCAACTCTGCGGGGGTCCAGTGGTAAAAGTGAGACAAAGATCAGATCAAAACACTTAAATAACCGTCAGATAACAAACTACACGCCTTTATGCAGAAGAGCAGCGCCCATAATGGCAGTAAAGAGGAATAAATACAGAACGCAGCGTTAAATGTACTCGTAAATGATGAGAAACAAACATTTTGCTGTGAAATCTAAAGCCTATTAGCGTTGGGATGACTTTCAATGTTACCGGTAATGTCGTGAATTGTTGTTGTGTAAATGTCCCGAAAATAACGAACAATAACTCGTGGAAATTAAACTGTTAAATTACAAATATTTAGAAAAAGCTGGTCATTTGCAGTCGTGTATAACTTTTCCTCCAATTGCTTTTTTTACGTGTCGAAAAAATATAAAGAGACACCTGCCTGAAGCAGAAAAAATGATATTCGTCAGTAAATCGCCTCCTGCTTTAAGAGAAGGAACATTATTACACTTTCTAGCCCCGTATTTTGTGCCATCACATAAGCTAAGCATCCAATATTTGTCTTTAAAACCCGTTTGTCTCCGTCTTTCTCCGGATTATCCTTGGCTATATTTACGTTATCTTATATTTGGAACATAGGATAAGGTGTTGTACAAAACAAGCAAGAAGATATGTCGCATTCGCATCAATTTCTGTGTAAATAAAAAGGAAAAATACAATTTAAAGATCGCTTTCACGTGCGAGAGAAGACATTGTTTTGCATCCATTCGAAGAGTCTTTGACGATTTGGGAAACACCTTCAGAACAGAAGTGAGTGTTTTGGAAGTGAATTGGATGCAGAGCAACTTAAATGCACATGTTAATAACTAGGTGTGGATTCCTGCATGTCTTATGAAATGCTTAACAACGCCACATCTGGGCAACATGTCTTCTTTGCAAACAGGAAGCCGTGTTGTTGTTGTTGTTGTTGTTTTGTTGATTATCTGCACAATAAAAGTACATTTTCTACCAGCAACGACCTGTGTCTGGATTCAAACGTAGAAACAGCGCGGAGATAGATGGAGTAGGAAAGGAAAGACAAAGTGAGGTAGATGGATGTCTGAAGAAACAACAAGACCTTCCCCCGAAAACAGCAACAGAACACAAAGATGGAGGACGAACAATCAGTGGGGGTTTGTACAGTGATTTACACTCAGAAATAATAAGAGAAATAACCAAACACGCCTTTGTGGTCCTCTCTGATCTACCCGTCTTCATGTTTCTTCAGTAAACCGTCTGAAGCTTCAGTCACGTCACATAACGTGTGTTTCTGATTTTCATAGTTAGTGTTTCGATAGTAGAGTAGAGCCGTAAGAGCATTGTTAACGTCTTTAAGGTGACATCTTATTTGACTTAAAGCGTTGAATAAAACTCAGAGTGCCGTCAGATAATCTCAGATTTTCTCGACCTCTGCAATCGACCAAGATGTTTGTAGAGAACGAGATCAATAATGTGAGATACTGAAGAAAACCAGCCGTAAATCAACAGAGAGGTTGATGAGCAGAACGGGAAATGATCCAAGACTGGTTTCAGTTTCTGTCTTCAGAACACTAAGACGTTAAGGCTCGTTGAAAATGTAATAAACCGTATATTCTGCATTCATTTGTAGTTTGATGTCAACATATGGAGCCCTGACACTGACAGAGATGTGTAAAAAGTTACCAGACAAGTCCAAAATATTACCGTCGTCAACAATTAATAATACTACTTCAAGTTAAGTGACGAAATGTAAGCTTTTTCTGCCCAAATCAGTTCTTAACAATGCTGCATTAGGGTCATTTTAGGTCAAACAAATAAAGCATATTCGACTAAGATTACCCACTTTTGCCCGGCTCCTTTAAATGCAGTTGTACCTAAAATGGCTCCTATACGCTGTCATATTTCAATTTAAATGGAGGCAAGAAAAAAGTATGACGCCTTAAATGATGTTTTACGCTCCATGTTAAGTAAACAACAATATAATGTATTGATATATTGAGTTTTAACTCGTCTATTAACTTGATTTTGTCAGTGTTTCGGCTCCAAACATTAATACACAACTGGAAATCCTGTTCTGGTTTCTGCTTCTTTTTTTGTTGAAACTGTTCTCTTGCATGCTCTACTTTGAAAGAAAATGAAATCGAACAAACAGCGACCGGCACGCACGCACGAGGGTGAAATACTCTGAGACTGACAGCAGACCAAAAAAGAGATGAATATTGAACTTTCCTCTTTGAACTCAGTCAGATGAGAGAAAATCTGTCGTACCTCAAACACAGAAATGAAATCCAGCTCAGAAACACATGAATAAAAGAGTGTGGAGGAAACGTTCGTCGATCAGACCTGAAGGAGTGTTTTCTCTTCTTATATATATATATATATAGATATATTACAACCACAAGAGAAATAGCAGCTTCTTTCTGTACATGATGAATGAACTCCGACCGTAGAAAAACGTACAAAAGTGACACGAAACGAAAGCGCCTGCACAGATGCTCCATAGTAGTCTGGGTTTTATACACAACTTTGATCAAGAGACGTTTTTAGTTGAGTTTATATCCGATTTCTTCTCTACGAGCTTCCATCCACAGTCCGAGCTTCAAGGATGCATTTTATTTAACTGCTTTTCTGATTTGATGTTGAAAAAATTTTCTCAGAAATCTGACTTTTCCAGAAATCTTGATTTTTTTCCCCGAAATTTTGATTTTCTTTCTCAAATTTAGAATTTTTACCCAACATTTGTTTTCTTCTCAAAATCTTAATTTCTTTTCCGTGAATTGTCACATTAAAAAATTTATTTTCTATTTCTGAATTTGTTATTTATTTTTCTGAAAAAAATGTCTGTCTTTAAAGAAAAACATAAAATCCCTTTTGGTCAGAAAGACAAACGAACACGTGGCCCTCATCCTCTCCCGTGCAAACCGCAGTGGAGGAGCAGCGAAGGACTGTAGAGGGAAGTTAAGGACAATTCACCCACAAAGTGATCATTCAGGTATCAATCAATCACCCTTTGTTATTTTCAATTCTTGAATTACATTGCATTTTTCTTAACTTGCTTTTATGGTTAAAAAAAATATCAACATTTGTGAACATTCTTGATAAATTGAAGTAAACGGGGGCGGTATCTAACGACAGCAAAGTACATCCAAACATCGGTTTATAAATGTACAAACTCAGTTATATTAGTCTATATTTAGGTATCATTTTGTAGGGTCTACATAGAATAATGCGTTGTACAAAACAAGCAAGATGTCGTAATTTCCTTCTGACTAGATAGGAAAACTACAATTTAAATATATATTTTGTAACAATATATCCATTTGTTTGCTCACTAAACACATGGATGATTGCTTTGATTTGTTTGCTCACTAACGCAAGGGTTTAAAATAAAGACTTAGATAATAGTGCACGAGTTGTGTAGGAAACAGATGCTTTGCCGCCCAATTTTACTACAATCCATCAAGAAATATCAAACATTGTTTACTCGTCGTTCACCGTGGAGGTGTGCAGAATAACGAATGAAGTCCAAGGTAACACAGGTGAGTAATTGATAAACAAATAGTCTTTAGGCGTGTGAATTACCCCTTGGATCACTGGTTTTAATATCGCCTAGAACCAAATCAAAGCGCTTGTTTTTGATCTGGTGTGTTGGACATTTTTTTCAGAGCAAAACTACAGAAGAAAGAATTTTACAAAAAGTACAATTTTGGCAACAAATTTGGCAACAGATTTGATCTTTTGTTTTTTTTCGTCCCTGTGGTTGTTTGTTTGTTCTCTGGAGACGCTGAAGTGCTTCTTCATTAAGATATGCAACAGTTACACCGTTAATGCCCGCCCAAAAACGCCGGTCATCGACAAAGGCCTTTGTTCTCCGTCATTTGAAAATACATGTAAAAAAAGTAACAAACGACAATTTATAAAATAAGTTCAGCCATAAAGAGAGAAGGGAGAAACAACCCCTCTTTACATTTCCTTTCTGTTACCCCCCTTCTTGTTTTGGTTTGTCCCACTCAGCAGCGAGGGCAGTGTCACGTGACAGCCAGCGGGACGAAACCAAAAATATGAAAAAAGGGGGGATAAAGAGGTACAGTGAACTGTAGTGACTCCACCTTCCAGCTGGTGGACGTTGTATTAAAACAAAAGAAATGTTTAGAGGGTTGTTCAGCAGGCGGAGGATTGGGGGAGGGGCATCGCTCGCTCGTTTTTTCGTCCTCCGTTCATGTGAGCGTACGCAGGAAGTTCATCCAATGACGCCGTTAGTCCCGCCCCCGACAGCCCATTGGCCGCCTGCTGCTGTCCGATTGCCTGCTTGTCCAATGAGGCGCTAGACGTACAAGGTGGAGAGGAAGGAGGGGAGGAAGGAGGGGAGGAAGGAGGGGAACTTGGAGCTAACGAAGGCCCAGGAGGAGCCTCTGTTTTCGGGGAAGGTGGCGTCTGTTGTTGGGGGGTCTGCTGTGAGGAAGAGGAGGAGGAAGAGGCAGCAGGCTCCAGAGGAACGACTTCCAAGATGGCGGCGTTTTCCAGGTGAGGTGGCGAGGGGGCGTCGGGCGGTTTGTTGTCGGCGCTGTAGAAGAAGCTGGAATCTATGAAGGAGGGGTCCAGTTCGTCCTTCAGAGAGCCGATGAT